TTAGGTGGAGAAGGAAATGGTAGCCCACTCCAGTATTCTTGCCTGGAGAATCCCATGGACAGAGGAGCCTGGAAGCCCATGGTCCGTAGGGTTGCAGAGAGTTGAACACAACTGAAGCGACTATGTAAGCAAGCAAGATTACTTAGGTGCCTAATTATTTTGTGTATATACAATACATAATATATAATCAATAACATTTGTGGAACAATTGCAATTTTCTATTCATTTTCTTATTTAATTTTAACACCAAAATACATAGAGTAGCAGGGAGGTCAGATATTGTCTCAATTGTACAGAAGAAAAAATTAAGTCCCAAAGAGATTGAGAGACATGCCCAAAGTTACCTAATCAGAATTTGTATGTAATTAAAAAACTATAAAGGCACTGGCTGTAGGTGTGTAAAATACCACATGCATTTTTATCTTCCTTCACAGTTCAGAAATCCCAGGCAGCAGGAATTTAAGAGCTGAGATCCTTGGGTACAGCTCTTCCCTGTTCCTTACCCAGGCAGATTGCACAATCTTTCCATGTTGCAGTCCATACCCACTAATAGACTCTGGCTGGAACACGACACTTATCTCCTTCTCATTTGTACCACACAAATGAAGTTAAAATAATGGCACTTTGTTGGCACAGAAGAAAGCCAGTTCCAAAGTGTCCCACTTTTTCTCTTCTATTGAGTGTTCAGAGTTGATGTGAAATAACAAATGTTCTGGCCCAGTTTGAGAACATAGCCTGGTTGTGTTGTAAAGATCAGGACTTATCCTTCCAACAAGTGGTTAGGCATGGGGCCTCCCATCCTGCCTGGACCCACGGAGTCCCAGATCCTGGAAAAAAAAGTCCTGGAGTAATCATCTATGAGGGTTGAAGCAAAAAAGGAGACTGAGCTGATGACTGGGTGCAAATTCCTTCTGAGACCCCAAGGGACAACAGTGGGAAAGAGGCTGGACCAGATACTGGAAGACTTGGTTGAAGTCTTCATTGTAATACCCGCTAACTGTGGGAACCTGAGCAAACCACAAACCACATCATCACACAATGTCATGTAAAGAGCCCTGGACTCGGAGTCAGACAAATTTGAATTCCAGTTGGGCATCTTACCAACTGTGTAACCTTGGCTCAGTGTGTGACCATTTCTGATCTCATTTTCTTCATCTGTAAACCAAAGGGACTGTGTGGATACTCTTAAGGAGCCATTTCCTGCTAGTTCATATTAGATTTCCAAAGATCCACATCCCCATTTGTGAAGTGGGGGTGACTGATTTCTGCCAGTTTATTAGGTTGTTGAGAGAGACAACAGGAGCGGGCAGCAGTAGGCAACTGGGAGGTTTTCTTAGTATTAAATAGAGAGCTGCTTCCTAGATTCTTAGCAGCATAACCATTAACCCCACTTTCTTTTATGGTCCCTTTGATAGGCTACACTTTCTTGAAACCATTAGCTTACATTACCTGCCTTTTAAAGATCCGTTCATCCCTCAGTGAAAAGGCAATTCAGTCATCAAATGGAACCAATGGAACAGCATTCCATTGGCTACCAGGGGGAGGGAGAAGTCATCTTGTGTTCTAATTTCAGCCACTCTCTCTTCTTCCACTGCTCTGCCAATCTCAGGCCTAAGCAGCAGGAGAGTAGCCCTGCTCCATGACCCCTAGACACTGAGGTTTACTGCAGGAGAATCAAACTATGCACCCTTTTTATATAAACTCGAACCCAAAACAACAAAGTAAATGGNAAAAAAAAAAGATCCCTGGTCCCCACTGAATGTGCTTAGGGGGAAAAACTGACTCAAACCATCCACCCTGGCCAGGCACCATAGTAACCACTTCCATGAGTTATTTTATGACATGAGGTCCTGGTAAGGAACAGGGAACTAGCAAGCCACCATCAAGAAAAAATCAAAAGGAGATTCCGTGTGTCCTACCAACCTCCCAGAATCCTCCTCATTGGAATCCATTTGGGGCTGAGCAATGCATGTGCTGCCAGGAAGGACCTGGAGTCAGAGTGATTGGCCAGAGACAACCCAGAAACTAATTCCATCACCATAAAACTCGAGACTGTGAGCCCCATGGCAGAGCAATCCTCCTGGGTTCCCCTTACACTCTTGCTCTTGGCCTTGGCACCCCTTACCAATAACATCTGCTTTGTCAGCTCATTTGTCTCCTTGGATAATTCAATTCCGAGTGTTAGACAAGAGCTCACTCTTCAGCCCTGGAAGGGGTTCCCCTTCCTGCAACAAATGCATGACTCCTATGGGCAGTATTCCCAGCAAGAGGTTACCTCACCTCCTGCCTGGGTCCTCCTGGAATCTTCATAAAGTCTTACTCCTCCTTACTTCTTCCACTCCACAAATAACACTGATGACCAGTGTGCCCAGCTCTATACAGCAAGCAGATTCAGTCCCTGCCCCTATGAAACTCACATTCCAGGGTAGATTTGAGCCTGGAAAACCCTTCCTTTGTTGGGCTCCAGTCTGCCACCAAAGCAAGTCTGTTCTTGGTCTAGCTGGGTGGGAGTTGTAGCAGCGAACCTGCACCACTCTCTTTAGGCCAGAGCAGAGCCTACTGTCACGTCTTGACTGAAGCAGGCATCAGGAAACACAAAGACTGTTGAACTGGCATTTTTCTCCCCTCTGGTCAGCTTGGATTGCTATAATAGTCCCCAAATCCATTTCACAAGGCAATCGGTATTTAAAACACTGTAACCTTGAGAGCAGCAGCCTCGAGAGAGGGGCAACTTCTATGCTTTATTAATCTCCAAATCAAATTAAGTCTCTGAGGTGTGTACTGGGACACACCTTGTCACATAATTTCAAGGTGTATTAGCACACTTATATTTGACTAAAAGCAATATAGGTACATAAATTATATAATGTGGCATACTAATTAAAATGATGCTTCTTATACACTGTATATTTTACTGTATATGAAAATCTTCTGTAGGTTAATCAAATTAACTGAACAATCTGATGACATTTCATGGATGTTTAGAGTTGGCACCCTTAATAATTAGCTAGTATTCTCATTTTTATAACAGAGGAAATTAAAGTAGAAAGAGCTAAACTAACTTGTTACAGAAATAAAGATTGATAAAAAAAAACCCAAACTCAGATCTCTGGGCAACTTTCCAGCAGCCTGGTGAGACTGATTCCCATTTTATAAATGATGCTCTGAAGAAGTGAAGGCTTAGCTGGTTAGCCAGGGTCACGTGGCTGGTGTTACTATGTGTGTGAAGTGGACTATTCTTTTAGTATGAGGTGTACACCTTGATAGAACTTCCCAGGTAGTGCTAATGGTAAAGAACCCACCTGCCAGTGCAGGAGAAATAAGAGACTAGAGTTTGATCCCTGGGTTGGGAATATCCCCTGGAGGAGGGCATGGCAACCCACTCCTGTATTCTTGCTTAGAGAATCCCATGGATGGAGGAGCCTGGCGGACCACAGTCCATAGGGTCGCAAAGAGTTGGACATGGATAAAGCAATTTAGCACACAAGCAAGCATGTACACCTTGACAACTGAAGAGAGATAGAGACCATGTAACATGTGTTTCTTTTCTACTTTAAAATTCTGTGGTGGGGGACCTCCCTGGTGATCCAACATTTAGACTCCGCACTCTCGATACAGGGACCATAGACTCAATCCCTGGTTGGGGAACTAAGGTCCCACATGCAGTATGGCATAGCCAAAAACAAAAATCTGTGGTGAGAGTCAGTCTTCTATTGATGAATAATGGCATAATAGACCTTAATGGAGAGGGAACCAAGACTGGCTCTGAGAGGCTGCTTTCCCACTGCCTGGGGTGGTCAAGATGAATCTTCATCTGCTGTCAATAAGATGGGCCTGGGACAATGCTTAGACATGTCCAACTCTTTGCAATCCCCTGGACTGTAGCTCACCAGGTTCCTCTGTCCATGGGATTCTCCAAGCAAGAATACTGGAGTGGGTAGTCATTCCCTTCTCCAGGTGGGACAATGCAAGGCCAGGGAAACTCTGCTCAGGGAAACTCTCAGAGTTAACAAGGGCCCCTAAGTAGGAGACTGTAGGGGATCCATGTCAAATAGGAAACTGGTTCGAGGAAGCCAACCCCATGAAGAAGACCTCAGAACATCATGAGGAGTCTAGTCTGTGTCATGCTCCTGGTCTACATGCCACTTTTTGGGGCTTTGTCCCTAGACCTGTGCTCCACGGACATATGATGGCACCATCTCCTGGTGCCTGGTTTGGTGCCCTCAAGTCTAATCCAGGCTTGTGATCATACAGGGCTGTCAAAGCAGCCAAGAGGGCCTGAACTGGAGCTGGGCTATTGTTGATGGTCTCTTGATGTCCATGGGATTCTCCAAGCAAGAATATTGGAGTGGGTAGTCATTCCCTTCTCCAGGTGGGACAATGCAAGGCCAGGGAAACTCTGCTCAGGGAAACTCTCAGAGTTAACAAGGGCCCCTAAGTAGGAGACTGTAGGGGATCCATGCCAAATAGGAAACTGTTCGAGGAAGCCAACCCCATGAAGAAGACCTCAGAACGTCATGAGGAGTCTAGTCTGTGTCATGCTCCTGGTCTACATGCCACTTTTTGGGGCTTTGTCCCTAGACCTGTGCTCCATGGACGTATGATGGCACCATCTCCTGGTGCCTGGTTTGGTGCCCTCAAGTCTAATCCAGGCTTGTGATCATACAGGGCTGTCAAAGCAGCCAAGAGGGCCTGAACTGGAGCTGGGCTATTGTTGATGGTCTCTTGGGGCTCAGTTCTTCTTGAAGAATGCATGAGCCCATGAACAGTTATAGGGAAGTTTGGTGCCTGCCGTAGGTGAGGTGACAAAGTGGGCTGAAGCTGGAGGAGGAAGAGCTAACACCAGTTCATTCATTTATTTGATTCATCTGTTCAGGAAATACTTATTGAACATTTACCACATACCATTCATGCTTCAGGGAGCTGCTAGATAAGGGAGCTGCTAGATATGGCAGTAAACAAATGAGATCCCTGTTCTCATGGAGCTTCTTCTGTTCCAGGAGAGACAGACAATAAGGAAGCAGACATCTTTCACATGCAGTGTGTTATCACAAAGTGATAGATGCAATGAAGAACTGAAGAACAGTGATAGCTGCAATGAAGAAAAGCAAAGTACAATGAAAATACAGCGAGTGATGAGATGTTTTAGGTGAGTTTTAGGTGGGGTGTTCAGACACCTGAAAGAAGGCACAATCAGGCAGAGGACTGGATCAGGTGGAAAAGTCAACCGCAGGTATATTGAGGAGGGTATGGCATTTTATTATAAGTGGCGGGAACTGAAAGTGCAAAGACCGTGAGAGAGAAGGACGCTTGCGGTGCTCAAGAAGAAGCACAGAGGCAGATGAGGCTGGAGAGGAGGTGGGTGGGGGCCTAGAGAGAGCATATGGCTAGACCAGAGAGCCTGATTGTGAACAAGGTGGGAGGGCGCACTGGGGGATTTTGTGCAGACTCTCTGGCTATTGCATGAAGAAGAGACCTCTGGAGGCAAGATGGGAAATGGAGCATCAGCCTGGGAGGCTGCTTTAGGCATCTGTGCTAGTGGCTGGATGAGTAGAGGTAGTTGTAAGGTTTGTGGATGATCTTGTTTTGTCTGAAGGTATAAAAACATTTCCCCTGTGCCATTCTGATAGCTTCGGTCCAATAGCTTTTGACACCTCCCTGAAGTCTCCCTGGATTGGGCAGGAGAGAATCAGTGGCTTCCCACTCTCAGTGCTCCCTTTGTTCTTCCTCAGAGGTGAAGGGTGGGGTGGGGGCAATACTGGGGAAGGAGTTAGAAAATCTTAACTCTGTTCCAGCCCTTTAATACTTGGCCTTTGAACTTGGGTACATCACCCAGCATTTCTGAGCCTTCATGTCAGCACTTTTAAAATAGTTCTTATCTTTCCTTTGTTCTCACTTCACAGAATAGTTGATTGTGTCAAAGGAGCTAATTTTAAACAGTTAAGAAGCAAACATGTGAAAAGGACTACAGTCTTTTGTTTATTTTATCATTATCCTGGCTATTCAGAAAGAACACCACATGCTAAGTGGGTGATAAAAATACTTACAAGATATAATCTCGATAAACTGGAAGCCAACTAACTAGAATTAACCAGTTAAACAGAATCTTTCAAGCAGGTGGAGAAAGGGGAAAATGTATTTATGTAGCCATGATGGTTTTTCCTCACATTCTAGAGGATTTAGCTTCACCTCTCATAAACCTCCCTTATCTCCAGGAGTAGATGAGACAATGGTCCACAGCACCCATGTCCTCCATCATCAAACCAAGATTCCTTCACAATCCTTTAGCTCTACTAAGTGAGAAAGAAAATTGATCCTGACAGCAAAGCTTGGGAAGTAAAAGCACTCAGGTCATCCCATCCTAGAGTGTGCTTTTGTCCATAATTCTTCCTTCACTTTATGCCTTGGCTATGGCTTCTCCATGGCTGAAGTATACTTCCATGCCCCACTGATGTGGGACTTGATCATATGACTTACTCTGACCAATGAGATGTGGGAGGAGGTATTGTGCAAGTTCCAAGCTGAGACTTAAAGAGGATTAGTGAGTTTCTGCAGCCCTCTTGGAGCTTGTGTTCCGCATTGTGAGAGTAACATGCCCCAGCCCTGATGGAAGACACACAGAGGAGATCTGAAACATCCCAAAGCATGGGTCCAATCTCATTTATTGAATGCTTCTAAACCCAGCTGAGAATGGCCAACTACGGTTGGCCCATGATTAGGAAATGACTGCTTATTTGTTGTAAGGCACTATAATTTTGGGACTGTTTGTTGCATGGCATTATTACAGTAAAACCTGACTCATACCTTCTGAGATGACAGAAAATTTTGTTAATCACATCAACCTGTTCTCCAGCTCTTTTGATCCCCTGAGGTTACTCTAAGCTATCTAGGGCTTCTGTTTGCTCCTTCTGTGGCTTTACTTTATTTGTTCACCTCAAAGAACCTTTCCTGGGTAGAACAGTTTTGAAGAGCAGACTCTATGCCTATACCCAGGAAAGGGAAAGTGAAAGATGCTCAGTTGTGTCTGACTCTTTGCAACCCCATGGACTATACAGTCCATGGAATTCTCTAGGCCAGAATACTGGAGTGGGTAGCCTTTCCCTTCTCCAGGGGATCTTCCCAACCCAGGGATTGAACCCAGGTCTCCTGCATTGCAGGCATATTCTTTACCAGCTGAGCTGCAAGAGAAGCCCAAGAATGGGCTATCCCTTGGGTAGCCTATCCCTTCTCCAGCAGATCTTCCTGACCCAGGAATTGATCCAGGGTCTCCTACATTGCAGGCAGATTCTTTACCAGCTGAGCTATCTGCTTTAATCAGAATCCACCCCTGTTTATCCCATGATGGGAGTTCTCAAGTCAAGAGAGCTGATAGGACTTTTTCAGATGGAAGGTCAGACTGCGGGTATATCAGGACCTTATGGCTTCAAATGAGAAATAGATCAATGTGGTTCAACAGAGAAAGCTGACAGAAAATCATATATGACTGCAATATCACTTTTCATTGGAAGAATGACTCATCAAAAGCGTTGAGACTTGGTGAATCAGAAATAACTTTTCTTGTCAGTAATGGCCATCAGCTATTGGTTTAAAGAATAAACTTTGAATCTCCAGCCTCATGCATATTTAGCTATGCATACTTGATGGATAGATGCATTCATCTCAGTGGGTTTGCTATTTTATTGGTACCAGAAAAGCTTACCCCAGGACTGGTGGTGTAGAAAGAATGTAATGGGATAGCCTGAAGGCATCAGACCCCTGGAATAGAGTCACCTTGGAATTCTCTGGTCTTGAGGGCATCTAAGTCATAAATTCTGGGCATCTCAGGGGTGGAAGATGCTGAAAGATCATCTGCCAGCTCCCTGTCCTAATGCTTGAAACCCCTAAAAGCATCTCAGAAGTAGGTGTCCATCGGAGTGGGAACAAATGTCCCTTTTCAAGGCCTCATATATCCTCTTTGGATAACTCTGCAATAGACTAAATGCCTGTGTTCTCCCCACCTCCCCAAATTTATGTTGAAACCCGAATCTCCAATGTGATGGTATTTGGAAATGGGCCTTGGAAGGGAAACTAGGTTTAGATGAGGTCATGAGAGGGGGGCCTTCATGATGGGATTAGTACCCCTATGAAAAGAGACAGGAGAGAGCTGGTTCCCTGCCCTGTGGGGAAGCAGCGGGCAGATGGCCATCTGCAATCCAGACGCCAGACCTGTCAACACCTTGATATTGGACTTCTCAGCCTCCAGAATTGTGAAAAATAAATGTTTTTGTTTAAACCACCCAGTAGATGGCAATTAATTATAGCAGCCCAAATGGACTATGGCTCACTCAGGTTATTAGTAGCTTCCTCTTCCACCAAGCTAATCTCTTTCTTTCTCCCTCCTTTTCTTTCTCTTTCTTACTTTCACTCTCAGCTCGTCAAAATATTTTAAATGTTTATCACAGGACCTGGCAACATTTTTCTGTAAAGAACCTAATAATAAATATTTGAGGCTTTGTGGGCCTTATGGTCTGTCACTACTACTCAGCTCTTCCACTGGGGCAAGTGAAAGCAGCCATCAACAATACGTAAATGAATGGGTGTAGATGTGTTCCAAGAACACTTTATTTATGGATACAGAAATTTGTATTTTATCTGATTTTTACTTTGTACAAAATATTATTCTTTTGATTTTTCCCCAACTATATAAAAGTGTAAAAATCATTTTTGCTTTGTGGGCTGTACAAAAACAGATGGGGACTGATTTGGCCTATAGTTTGTGGCTTGCCTGCCCCTGGCAAAAGTGTCTACCTCTTCTTCAAGACACTCTTTCAATTATGAGTCATTTCTAAACCATCCTGGATACTCAACCAACAAGTATGGAGCACCTGCTATGAGTTAGGGAACAAGTTTACATAAACTGCAGGGATATGAATCTGAAAATGACATGAAGGAGGCTGGGGTCAGCAGTAATAATAATAGCTAGTGTTTACTGAGTGCTTACCATGTGCTCAGTGCTCTAAATGCACTTTCTGTTTTCACATAATTTTATTTTTGACTGTGCTGGGTCTTTGCTGCATGGGCTTTTCTCTAGTTGCAGTGAGTAGGGGCTACTCTCTAGTTGTGGTGCACAGGATTCTCACTGCAGTGGCTTCTCTTATTGTGGAGCGTGGGCTCTAGAGCATGCAGGCTTCAGTAACTGCAGCTCTTGGGCTCTAGAACACAAGCTCACTTGTTGTGGCACATGGGCTTAGTAGCTCTGTGGCAGGTGGGATCTTCCAGGATCAGGGATCAAACCTGTGTCTCCTGCATTGGCAGGTGGATTCTTTATCACTGAGCCATCAGGGAAGCCCTAAATGCACTTTGTAATTTAACCTTCACAGCAATCCTTTGTGTCTCTTGCTGTTATCATACAGAAGAGAAAGACAAGATCAGAAAGGTACAGGTCTAAGAAGTGGTACAGACTGAATTGAAACTCAGGCAATCCTAGTTCAGCATCTCCCTTGATGTGCCATCTCTGTACAGAAATTGAGATAGTCAACTACGTTCCTTTCTGGGCTGGGCACTTTACTTCCGATGTTTCACTTAAATCTTAACAATGTCCTAGGAGGTGAGTGTTAGCATTCAGATATTACGGATGGGACTCCTGCAAGGAAGTTACTTGCCCAGGGCCATGTGGAGCCTTTTCTATCTTGCTGTCCTGAACTTCAAGCCAAGGGATGCAAGAGGAGGGGGCTCAGAGCTGCCCTCAGAGCACTCATAGTCTGGGCAGGAAATAAGATTTACCAAACCTGCCATTCACTCACAATACTTGGGATGCCTCCCTGAGGTGCAGAAGACAGTGTGCTCACTTCGATGGCTTCATTCTGTGCAGTGACAGGGAAGAACTAGGGGTTGATGCCTGATGAATGAGCACTGAGATTCAGAAGGAAGGAGGAGGCATTATAAAAGGGATCTGGACTCTTGCTATTAAAACTGTGGTTTTGGGTCAGCAGCTCTGACACTATCTAGGTGCACAATCTTGTGAACGATCATCCCTGCAGAGTGGCTGTCATTTCAGAGTGTCAGGCTTTCCTGGGTGACACTGGCCATCTTCCTTACCTTCACATATCCCAGCAGGCGCAGAGAGCTCACATCAAACTAATGGCCACCTGGATTCTATACAGCTCTCTC